GATCCCCCAGACAGCAGTGTTCAAGACATTGGAAGTATGGACCAACAGGTATTTTGTGGCCTTACTCTTCCTGTTATGTGTGCATAGCAATTAAAGATTAAAAAAAAAAAAAAACCTCCATAACATCATGTAGTTTCCTAGATAGCTTAAGGTCTAACCTTCTATTTTAGTGAATTTCCCCTTCTTGTTGGAGTCAAAGACACTGTCGTTCTTACGGATGGTAATCATGTTAGTTCCAGGTATAGCTGGCTGTCTCACATATAATGGCTTGAGTTTTAGCTTCTGATTGTAAAAATGCAAATTCTCCTTTGTATGACCCTGAAGGTACAGATTGCAGGCATCTGACCATGAATGATGGCCAGGCTGCTCTTGTGTCTTCCCCCATCTCACAGGGATCTCTTGAAAAGCCTGCCAGCAAAGCTCTGCAGCATTCAGTAAGATTCTAATTGTCTGGTTTAGCTGATTTTATTCTATCAGGGCATACATAGCATCACCGCTAACTTTGTGTTTCCCTTTTAGGATGCCCAAGTTCCACAGAGCCACTTTTTTTCCAACTGCTCTGAAGAGCAACAACTACACAAATATTTCCTTTCTTCTCCTCTTCACAGTCTTCTCAGGAGTTTCAGAACAAATTAGGTATATGGCTAACCATGCATCATAGCATTCCAAATGATACAGAATTCCTGTTTTTTTTTTTTTTTTTTTTTTTTTTTTAAGGTTGGCAAAGTTTCAGATATATCATAGGAGGGAAAAATGCAGAAGGATTGGCAAAATAATTGTGCTAGACCAAGTCTGTGTCAGGTAAAAAGGGATTAAATAAAAAAAAAATTAATATTCACTCAGGAAGGGTTGGCTATGAGGCACAGAGTGGCCTTTTGCAGATACAGTGACAGCACCGGTAACAAGAATATAACTTGCAGGTCCGGTTTTACTCTTCCCCTGTCCCCATGTGCCTTTAATCTGGGTGTGCTCTGTGGTAATTTGTCTCCTCTGGCCATGAATCATGGTCCCTGGAATCCAGTGGTGGGACTGGGAAATGTAACATTACAGCTACTGCTAGTGACTGACAAGCATATTTTCTGCTTCCAGTTCTTACCAATGTGTGCACTGATGGCCTAGATGTCTTAGTTTCAAAGGAGTGGGGAGGCTGTTCCTATGCAACACAATGATGTCTTCACAGACCTGGAAGCTAGGGATCTGCCCTGGTCGTTGTGAGCTCTTCTTGTCTATATGTAAACCAGCTAACAAGGGAATGGTGGTGAACCACAAACAATCATTCTAGGATATTGAAGGGAAATTGGACTGTTACTCCACAGGGTAGAAAAGAAAAAAAAATATGAGCAAAAGTTCTCTAAGGGAATTTTCTTGTCATACGCTTATATTAAACTCAATGATAAATGATCAGCAGGGGGAGATTGGGATGCACAGAGCACAGGCTAAGGACCAGAGCAGGTGCAGAGCAGGAAACAGGTGTTTGAGGGCTTCTTGTTGGTCTCTGGGTTTTTCTCTGTGTGTTAACATCACATAAATGGAAAGGACCCTAAATACACAGGCTTCAGATGACTTATGACGTATTCAGAATACCAGTACAGTTTTATATATATATATATATATATATATATATATATATATATATATGTGTGTGTGTGTGTGTGTGTGTGTGTGTGTGCATGCGTGTGTGTGTGTGTGTGTGTGTGTGTGTGTGTGTTTTCTTAGTCGCTTTCATATTATATTTCACAAATGGCCAGTAAACCACAAAGTTTATTTGAGAATGATCCCTGCACTCCATAGGCTCTGGCAGGAGGACTGTTAGGCATTCAAGACTAGCCTGTGCTACAAAGAGAGACCAAGTTGAGGCCGACCTGCTTAACAAGACCATGTCTCAAAAAAACCACAAAACAAATCAGTAACAAAACTCTTATTTATATATGTGTTACAGAAAGATAAAATCAAACAGGAGCCTCTGCCTATCTCCTGCAACCTGCCAGGTAAAAACTCTGCTAAATTGAGGCAGCTATGATATTTAGGTTCAGCTGCTTTTTTTTCTGATACTGTAGAGTTCAAATTTGACTGTTCCTGATGATGTTTCCATTAATGAAAAAAATATATTGCTCCTAACTGGCTTCAAGGGTTTTGCTTGGGGTGAAGTAACCCATTCAGAGATATATTTTTACTCTGCTTTCTCCACTGGAACCTCCTCCACTCATTTCCAGTATGTTCCTGATAAACAATTCCTTTTAAGCAATGTATGCAAACTTGGCTTATCTGACAATATGTGACTGAAATCAATCCATGTAACCAATCAGGTAATGCCCTGCACTTCCTGCCTGAAAACTATAGCTAAACTGACCCCAAACCTGCCTGAGTGTTGATGATTAGAATCTGAGATTCCCCTCATCCTAGTTGCACAATAAACAGTTTTCTTCTAGATTCCTTAATGCAAAGAGTATTCCATTCATTTTGGTATTAATATTTCAGGCTAGTCTTGAAATTACAAAGATCCTCCTGCTATACCCTCCCAAGTTCTTGGATTACAGGCATGTATCACCACATCTGGAGTACTGCAATTTTAACTGTTACTCATTTCATTTTTTTTAAATTTTTTATTTAAGGAGAAAAGGAAAAAAAAAACAGTGAAAGGGTACAAGTTATACAGATTTACAGAAGAAAAAAATGAACAATAGGAAATCATTAGTTAATGGATTACATATTGCCATCTTATAAATAATTGTTCAAGTCACAAAATTAAAGCTTATAGAGTGGACATTCCAACAATGATACTGCAAACAGTTCTGTTCAAAGATCCAATAAAACTCTGTGATATCATTTTCTATCTTATACACTTAAATATACATGCAGTTATATAGTTTAGAGCACTTTCTTTTCCTCTCTTTTGTACAATGACTATTACACGTTTTGGGTTTCATTGCTCCCAGGGTTCTTATGGCTTTTTTGGAAGAGAGTAAAACAAATGAGAAATAACAGAACAGAATTGGTCAAGTCAAAAGGGTGGACATAATAGATAATATAAAAACATAATACAAGGTGATCAACAATGGTTACCATAATGCCTCCCGCTATCTCTAATAAGAATTGCCTATATCATTAGTTATAATACAATTGAACAAAACCGTAAAGAACAAAACTGACAAAACCAAAACATTGGAGACATTGTAGGTCTTCAAAAGTAGATAAAAGTCAATGAGAATGGGCGTTAAAATGAATCTCATTATCTTCACAGCTGATGCCTAAACTTTTGAACCTGATACTATCCAGCAAAACAGAATATGGGAACATCAGTCAAAAACAAGATGTTGAGAGTAATACAGGGCTTCAAATCGAGATAATAGAAAGTCAAAATGGGTTACTGTATTATATCCTGCTATTTTTCCCTTTAATTAAACGGATAAAAATAAAAAAGTAAATAATGGAGTAGGGATAGAGAAAAAAGAGGACACAACAGTGAAACAGCGCAGATCAAAACATAACCATTTAAGCGGAATAGTGTTTCACCACCAGATAATTCCGACCCAAAAGTTGTTACCATATTGACTCTTTCCTTGAAGTCCTTGAGTACAACTTCGTATACTGTAGCATTAAGTATATCAAAACAATGTAAAACCATTTAAGAGAATGACAGCATTACAGAGTATTTAGAATCGACTAACAGAAAATGAACAATGGTTTCTGTATAATCTCCTTGTCTTTAAAAGGTTTTTGCTTATGCTATCGTACATAATAAAATCCAATAAGATCTCCATTTTTCTAAGGTCATTCATCTTGAATCAATTCCACATTCACTTACTATTTTTACTGATGGCTCTGCCCACACTAAAAGGTATCATAGTAACAGGCTCCCTTCAGGCAAGGATGCAAAAATTTTATTTCACCAAAAAGCAGAATTAGGTACCATCATCCTAGATTTATGAACAACGTGTGATGGATGAGGAGATCAATTTTGAAACAATTTTAGTGCACTGAAAATTCTTAAACTACCAACTTGCAATTTTCTCTGCATTCTGCTTGCATTGATATAAGATCTTATTGGATGGCTATGGTCAAATGTCAAATGTAAAATGTAACATTGTGCAACAACACAATTGATCTCAGCCATGCTTTTCAGAAATGTTTATGGTAAGAGTGACGGAGAAATATACAAATGAGCCTTTAAGTACATGAGATATAATTTTAATATATGAGATCTTTCTGTGGTAAAAGATCTGAAGGCTTCAGGTGTGAAAACATGATTCATTATAAAAATATGAGTTTTCAGGGTCATTGGTGCAGGAGGTAAGGGCAGAATGTCTGTATACCATGAAGAATCCCAGCATTTCCAGACAGCAGAAGAGAGTCCTGATTTCATAAACCCAAGAATGGGCTGAGGTGGAGACACATGGGCTACATTAGACTCCCCCAGATCAGGATACCATGGTAATCTACAGAACAGGACCCTGAAATTGTCCGTGAAAATCACATGTAGGAATGAAACAGTAATTTTTCAAAAGTCAGTCATTGAGCAGAGCACAGGATTTCACCAAAAAGAAAAAAGTTTAGTTATTTTTGAATAATTTTTCTCTATCTCCAGTAAGCACTCCACAGACACGCAGTTCTCTCTGCCCCTCCACAAACCCTCCCATGGAAAGGCCAATATTAGTAAATTCAGTCAGCATGTCAGAAACTGTACAGGACAGATATATTCTACTGTTAAAGATTCCCACATATACTGTGCTCAAAATCAGCAATTAGTTCCCAGTGTTTACTTTCACTTTGTGTGGAAGTGTTAAGCCTACAGAAGATGTAGAAAATTATCTCAGTGTCAGGAGTCATCTCTGACCATCCTGTGAAAAATCCCTCTCTCTGGGATCCACTAACGCACCCTGTCCTGTTTCCCACCCTGATACCTGCAGGGACTTGGCCATGCAAAGCAGCCCCAGGCTCAGGTTGAAAAGAAAGTTCTGGCTGAGCAGCCCAGTCTCCTCCCACAGGAGCCTTCACAGGTCATGGAGTTCTTGGCTCTGCTCCTCTGCCTAGTTGGCGGCTCCCCGCAGTGAGTGTCTATGAGGTTCAGGAGAAGGACTGGGCACAGGGTGCTGGGTGGGCTTGACTGACAGTGATGCTTCTTGTCCTCAGGTTTCCTGTCCCAGGGTCAGCTGCAGGAGTCAGGATCAGGCCTGGTAGAGCCTTCAGAGACCCTGTCTCTCACCTGCACAGTCTCTGGATTCTCTTTAACCAGCAATGTTTTCAGCTGGATCCCTCAGGCTCCAGGGAAGGGGCTGGAGAAGATTGGTGTTATAGTTAGTAGTGGAAGCACAAGATATAAGTCAGCCCTTCAGGCTCGAGTGAGCATCAGCAGGGACATTTCCAAGAGCCAAGTCTCACACGGAGCAGCCTGAGCCCCAAAGACACAGCCATGTATTACTGTGCTAGAGGCATAGTGAGGGGACATCAGTGTGAGCCCCCACAAAACTTCCCGGTAGAGGAGCTCAGGACAGCAAGTGGAACTCAAGACACACTGAATTCTTATGTAACTCAGGACCAGGTGCAGGTTTCAGGGGCTGCTGTGACTTTGTGTCTGTGGTTTTCCCTTCCTTCCGTGACTTCCGTGCTGAAGACATTCTGCAGTGTTGACTTCTAAATATTTAATTTAATTTCTTTTTATTAGTAAGTGTTTGCACTGCAGGCCATTTACAGATATCTTGGTGAATGAATACAAGTGTCTAATACAGCTTTATTCTCTTCTAAAACCCCTTCCTCTTCTCTTCTGTCAATGTAGCCAGTATGACAAATATATTACAAAATTGCCATGATGCCCAGAGAGGTGAAGAGTTCATATGAAATTAAGAGAATCATCTCGAGATTGTTTGTGGGATGGAATCATAGATATCTTCCCATGGAAGACGGAATCTCCATAGTCAGGTAAAGCAGTGTGGTGAGCATGTTGGAGCTCCATGCTCCAGGTATACGTGGAGCAGAACTCAGACAGCAAAGGTGACAGAAGAGAGGACAGGGAAACCCTGGGAAACTTCTTCCCCTACCACTGTAGGAACTGCTCAGGGTGTCCGGAGCTTCCGGCCAATTTTTATTTTTCTCTCCCCTGGGTGTCCTCTTTATCCTACTGGGGTGGTTAGAATATCTCAGTGAATCCATGAGGGACAGCAAGAATCGCACTGTTAGGACACACAAACTGCTACAGGGAAAAGGCCACACATTTGGAGAGACTCAGAGATTTCTGTGTGCAAGCCTGAGCTCGGTCCTAAGGTCTGAAGGGGAGAGATCAGCATTTGCAGGACACTAGGACATCACTGTATCCTTCTTGTAGACAAGGAGTCTGAAGGACGCAGGTGTTCCTCATGGAAATGAACCAGCTCACCAGATACCTGATTTCTGGAAAATCATGCGATCAGACACTACATTGTCAGCAACAGTGGGGAATGCTGCCACATGCCCTTCTTTCCCTTCTGGGAATTAATTATACATGTGAAACTTCAGAGAATCCTGAGTGGACACACAGCCCCTGCAATCTGTCCACAGCTGCATCTCCTGCTATCATTTCTAGTAATATCTGCAGCACAGATATTACTGATTTCTAGGCATGGGCATCTGCTTCAATCACATTCCTGGGCTCAGCCAGGGTGTGAGGCCACAGCCACCATCTCTTGCAGATATGCTGGGGGCTACACTGACAGACGCCAGCTCCAACATGTAGATTTAGGGTCATCTTTGACCTTCTCATTACCCATGAAGCCCGTGCTATAATTGGATAATCTGGAGATTCTTCCATGTGACACAGCAATGAAGTTGCAGCTGCACTTCTCTGACCTGGAAGCTCCCTTCTGGAGCCTTGATAATTTATGTATGCAGTGGCTACAGTCATGGAGTCCACTTCCCCATGGTAGCAGGAACATATGGAATATCAATCATGAGGTCCAGGCTTGGGCCACATGCATGTGTGTCCAGGGCCTCTGGCCCAGACCAGGTTCTTATATCAGAGTGATCCTGTTCCCAGAGTCTCTGTACATGGTCCCTTTGGCTGTGTCCGTGTATGCCTCTGAGCATGAAGACCTAAAGGGTGTGTCCTACCATCACTGCCATTCACAGGCACAAGGCCCTACCATGACTGGGTGGGCCAGGAATGATGATTTTCTGGGCTGCCCGTCCTCAACAACTGCACATCCATGGTGTTCCAAGGACAAAAACCTGCAGTGTAGACACTGCCTGCATCCCTTCATTGTATATAATCTGTGCTCAGGATAAAGTGAGTCTGAGGCTCAGGGTCAGGGAGGTTCCTGAGTGCAGGTGAAGGGCAAGAGCAGAGATGTCATCATCACACTTGAGATATGATCTGTGCTACAGCCTCAAGGAAGGGGTGATGGGTTGGATAGTGAACCACTATTGTTACCAACTGCTGCCCCTGACTGGGTATCACAGGGGGACCTAGAAGGCAGGCTGCTCTGCACCTAGAGAATCTAAACTCCCTGGCAGGGTCGCTGTCCATCCTCTGAAGACATCTGTCTGTGAAGCCTCTCCTGAATCTTTACCTGTGTGTTGTGGTTTCCTTGCACAGAGAAGAGAGCTAGAAAGAGGATCCCTGCTTCGGGGCCATTGTGATGTGTTTTCCAGAATTAAAAATATGTTTTACCATTACAGAAATTTAGTAATGTACTTTTTTTTAATTTAAGAGGAAAAAGAGAAAAACACCATGTGCTATGTCTGTCCTTGGTATTGACTGACAGCTTTGTTTTGCCATATTTGACTGTATTCTTCCCCCCCCCCAAAGAAAGTAATAAGCACTAAGGAGTAATAAAATCCAAGATGTGTAAATTTTGTTGTAAAAAAGAGAGGGAAAAAAAAAAAAAGAAAAAGAGCTCTAACGGATATAGCAGCAAGTGTGTTTGGGGGTGTTAAATAGCTGACTTTATCAATGTTTTTGGAACATTGAACACAGCTGTTTGCAGTCTCCCTGTTTGAATGTCCACCTTGTGTTCTTTGATACTGTGATTTGAGGAACTATTTTCAAGAAGATAGTGTGTAATCTACTAGCAGGTAATTTCTTACTGTTATGTTTTTTTGTTTTGTTTTGTTTTGTTATAACCATAGTAATGTACTTTTATACAACTATTAAATATATTCCCATTTTCTTTTTACATTTGAGCTTTTCAGAAATCAAAATGCATTTTATTGCAAAATACTCAGGTAAATATTAAATTTGCCATATTTAACTCTTAATTTATGTAATCAATGAATAATGGAAGTGAAGAAGCATCAGAAGAGCCACCCCCACTTCCTATGCACCCAGACCCAGCACCATCCCAGAAAGACAAAATTGCACTTTTCTTCTTCTGTTTCTTGAGAAGCACCTGACAAGTTCATTTAATTAAAGGAAGAATTCCTTCTTTATCTTGTGTTTAATATCCCTTTATATTTCCAAATGTCAATTTTTTCTGAACCGGCATCCTTGTGTAGTAAAAATATCTACTATTCTCCCATTTATTTCTATACATTTCACTTTACCTACAGTTTGATTCCATGTATGCATCCCAAGAGCACATGTAAAGAAAGATAAAAGGTAGTTTTCCATCAATATGGGGGATTTATCCATCTAATACTTGTCCCTGACATTCTGATTTTATGCCTTTCCTTAACTCTGAAATCTCAGCTAGACAAGTTGATATTTAATAGAAGAGCACATTATCAAAGGACTCAACCTTTCACTACATTCTAAGATTCTGCTGGGTTCATCTGGCCCAGATGCTGGTGAAGCTCAGGGAACCTGGTAATGGTCTGGTTGAAAGTTGGATCCACAGCGACAGGCGGTCTGCGTGAGTCCAGCCACAACCTTCACCTCGGCAGGGATCAGGACACAGAGACCCTGATACTCACAGCTCAGGGTGTGCAGTCCCTTCAGAGGGAGATGAGGAGAACTCAGGGAGATCACATTGCCCAGAAGCCAGCTCTTCCAGGTCCCAACACAGGAGCAGCTACACAGGGACCCTGGGGTGACTTGAGATGTTGAGACCTCGGTTTCACTTACTCTTAATCCTCCTCTTACCCATTTACCTCTGTGGAAGTGAAGTAATAATGGACACTGTGTTTCTTTCATTACATCTTCTTCATGCAGGTGTGACTATATAACATTTTATAACTATCAGGCTGAATCATTAACAAGCTGCTTGAAATTCTTTAGATAATAAAAAATGTCACTGATTCAAATTTAAATCTTTGTTTTTGGTAGTACGTGCTATTAAATATGTAAACACCAACACAAGTTTAGAAAAAATTATTTTCAAAAGTCTTAAATTTTGCTGTACCTTTTCATTCTTGCATTCCTCATACCCTGACACCGTCAAAGTGAGTACAGATCCAATACTGCCATTGTGGATTTCCTTTCTTTTTTAAAGCAAGCAAATGAGTATTTACTGAATCAAACAAATTTCCTCTAGTGATTCTTTTTTTTATTATTTTAAAGACAGGAAGACAAAGAGGACAGAACAAAGCAGGATCTGAATAGAACAATGTAAGCAACACAGTATTTCACCACAAAACAATCCAATATTACAAGTAGAAGCTACCATAATGTCTCTTTCTTTGAAATAGCTGAGCATAACTTCACAGACAGTAGTATCAAACATAACAAAATAGTATAAAACCAGTTAAGAAAATGAAAGTATTGCAGGGCATTCAGAACTATATAACAGAAAATAAACAATGGCTACTACATTATCTCATTTTTCAAAGAATTTTTTATACTATCACACATACTAAAAGCCAATATGACAAAACATTGTAGAACCAATGGAAACAGAAGAACAAAATCATGGTGGAACATCAAAGCAAGATGATATTAAATCTGCAATGGCTGTCATAAAGTCTTGTTTTCTTCAAAATTGCTGTTCCTACCTTCACATGTAATAAAATCAAACAAAGCAGAATAAAACCATTCCAACCAATGAATAAAACATTGGAAGACTTCAAAGCAATATAATGTGGAACCATGATTACAATAAGCTCTTATGTACTCTTACCATTTCTTACACTAGGGAGACTATACGGTATTTATAATGTGATTTTCATTTATTTTATGAATATGGTCTCAAGTTGCATCCATTTATTTATAAATATCTCAATGTGATAATTTTTATAGCTGAGTAGTATTCCATTGTACAAAGATATCACAACTGTTTTATCCATTCCTCAGTTGATGGACAATTAGGTTGTTTCCAAGATTTGGGTTTTACAAATTGTGCTGCTATAAACGTGGGTGCACACATATGATTGTGGAATGATATTTTTACTTCTTCTTGGAATATACCTAGAAGTGAAATAGCTGGGTCAAATACGAATTCCATTCCCAGCTTTTTGAGGAATCTCCAACTGACCTCCACAGTGGTTGCAC